CCCGGAGGTCGTTGCAACCGCGAAATACCGAAGGTACCCGAGGAGTGGAAATCTTCAAAATATGTTGCACTCCCACCCTTACTCCTTTTTTTTTTCACCTCAATGACACCTCCGCCAGAGTCCACTACACCCCCCCAGAACTTCGCCCTGGATCTTGTCGGTTTAACACCTATCTCTGCATTATCTCTTCTCTACAGTTGTAGGCTATTTATTAATCGGGAATCTATTCAGGATGAGCCATCGCGTCGCCACATTTATTATGGAAAGTATTTACAAGTGCAATCGCCGACATTACCGACCACGCCTACCAACACAAGAAGAGAAACACCAATTAACGCGATGGTTGAAACCTACAAATTGCTCGGTTACTACAATATTGCAGTCCTATGTATCGTCTGATTTCGCTGGGTGATAAGGGTACAAATGATTCTTTCCTATTTCCATGTCTGTTTATATCCGTATCTTTCATATTTCTGCGTCTTTCTTATGTTCCATGGCCTACATAATTATGTAGCGTATGTAGTTATCTTGCAATTCTCACGAGCCGGCTCGAGCCTCCTTTGTAAAACCACGAGCCGGCTCGAGCCTACCCCCAGGCTCGGCTCGAGCCGGCTCGTGCCCAGGCCTAAGTGGTGCTAGAAAGGCATCACGGGTGCAGAGGGGATCTGTAGTAAAATGTCTACTACAGCGAATGGTAATACGTGGAGTGGACAGGAGCGGAGTGCACTAGAACGATGCGGTGAAGACTTGCTTAATTCTTAACACGGAAAAAAAGTATCCGGAGCGTTGTCTATGTACGGGAATTCAGGGTAAGTCAATGTGCAGGGATGTGAATATTCGGTCAATCAGAAACAAGAGAATTCAGGATGGCGGGTAGCGGTCCTGCCCGGGTGGCAACGAGTGTGAGTCAACCAGGCATACGTACTTAAGGTTGCTTGCCCATGTGCGAGTGACTCAAGTGGCGCTACGGATTCAGCTGAATATCTATGGGGGCGGCAACTCGAGTGTAGTGGATGTGCGTTTTAACAAGATGGACATATACATTTTCAGGTGGCTGCCTGGACCTGATATGGCAGTTGCCAATCGACTGACAATTCTTGCGTTTGGTGAATTTGACTTTGAACTCAGTAATACTTGCTTACGACCCTTTTCGTCTGTTTGCATACTCTTTTGTTTTGTTTTGTTTGGGCAAATCAGCACTTGCGCTTAAATGGTAACAGAAAGACATTTTTCCATGCGCGTGACTGGTTTCATAACAGATTTGCTAAGTCTGAGTGCGGATGTATGAACTTTGTTAGTTTGTACTTCTGGAGGGATACTATATACTGGAAGAACCAGCTCTCTTGAAATATTGCCATAGGTTTTCATCTGCCTATATGGACCTTTATGGCACACCCACTGCCAGAAATATCCCACTCCTGCCCCCACCCCCCAAACTATCACTTTATACCATAAATTCTTTGGCAGATTTTGAGATTTCGGATCGTGCATATTGGGAACAATCGAGAAGGCGGATTCTAATACCGTTTTAGATTCTATCCCTGGTAATATATGTATTCAATCACATCAGGGTGCTTCCGTATACTCGATAATCTGAGGATTTTGTGTCCCCTTACGTTCCAACCCAAATGAAAACTAATGCCGGTTGCTGCATTCTGTGGCAATATTTCATTTACCCCAGCGCCAGTAAGTACTAATTACATTTGCACGGGTCTCTTCGCCGAACATAGCCTCCTAGGAGCCGTGGCGGAGGTCATGTAACATATTTGAATGTAGACGTACGCGTCGGCATAGTATACATGAGGAATAACGGGATAATGTACTACGTATTAGTTCCTCGTCTTGCCGGCAGAGACAAAACTCAACGGAACTGGGAATATTGCTGTGATTCGACTTCTGCGGATATTCCATATATGGATGTCAGTACAAGTTATGCTTGATAATGCTTGTCTAGATATGGATACTGGGTGGATGTAGGATACATAATTGGGAATCGTGGTTCGGGCAAACAATTTGAATGACGGTCAGTCAAATGTAAAAGCTCCAACACCGACAAGGCATGCACTATATAAATCACCACTGAGGGCGGGTTGCACAAACAAGCCTCCCAACGAATCACATCAAGCAAGGTTTAAATAGCGAAATATACTAACTGCAGTGTAACTTCTTACTGTGAGAAATAAAACTTTGAGAGTAGGGCTTGTGGATTCTTCTCGGTCATATAAGCACTTGCAGACTTGCAGTACGTTGGTGATGTTCTCCAAAATCGTGTGTGCGGTTTGTATTTGACTGGGAAAATGTGAGAGAAACGGAGCAGAAAGATTCTGACCCCCCCAATCTGAGTAATGATTTACCCTCACAAGAAAAGATTCTGACGTACTGACCCACCGGCACAGATATCGCCACAGCCACCTAAATCTCCCTCAAGGTCCATCTATATGGCAGGGGTGGCGAAAGAGAAAAAGAAAATTAGAGAAAATGATAGGGTGCATCCAAAGTGGAAGCAAGGAATTATAGTTTGCATGAGCCAAAGTAGGCACATAAAGTACGGTAATACGTAAAAACAAGAAGTCGATGCCACCTGCTACTGAGCACAACAAGCAAATTCATTGGACGCAGAAATTGTCCAATCGGAAACTGCCATATCAGGCCCTCAACTCCTCATGCTGCCACCTAAAATGCATAGGTCCATCTTGCTTTGAGGAGGGTAATCAATAATCGTCATACGACCCTTATGGTTGTGCATACGATAAATGGGTTTTTCTTTTAAAAGATATCAGCTCTTGTATTTAAACTTTAACGAGAGGACCAGCCACAAAAAAAATATACATCTTATGGTCATAGCGACATAATTAACCTCCAGTTTAGGTTGTCATCGTCTGGTTATGTGAAGCCTATTTTGCGAGTATGGCTTGCGTGATCCTTTGAATCGCCTTATTTTCAGTCCGCAATTCATTCCTATCCTGTTCATGAGTGCGCTGCATTTCTTTTATACACTGCTCCACTTCATTCATACGCTCTCCTGCTTATCCTTCTCTTCCATAAGTTAGCAGTGGTCTGTTCGTGGGTGCTCTTCATTTCATTTATACGCTGTTCCTGAGTGCGCTGCATTTCACTCGTACCTATGCTTGTCTGAATTCGTGTGACGTTTAATAAACCTGTCCTCTGCTTTTTGTCGTTCCTTCTGAAGCCAATCTGCCACTTTACTAAAAAACTCATTGGCATTCCACTGTTTACTATTGACGACATTCTGCACTCAATTATTGAAGCTGTCAGAATCCTTCTGGTTGCTATTCTGTGTTTGCGCGTGTATGCTCCGCGAACAGAGGTGTTCTAGCATTCTGATAAGCGACTTGACGTAATCATCTGCTGTATATTTCCTGACTCCCGGTAGCTTAGACCAAACGTCTTAATTAATTGCTTCTTGTACGTCGCTCCACGATGTTTGGTCAATCATTTGATTCAAGCACGTAGCCACTGCACCATCTTCTCCAATCACGGCACGATGGACAAGTGCTAGGACTGATTCCAGAGCCTGTCGGAAGCTAGTCTCTATCGCAGCCTTACCCGTATCTTCTGCAGGGGAATCGGAAATTGTATAGAGCAAGCTATTGGCTTCTTCAACATGGTTATCAAGTACTACCCATTAAATGAACTTTCGTCCACTCATATGAGCCTCGACTTGATATTCCGGATACACAGCTTGTGTATGGCGAGCCACCCAGAACCTGGGTGGAAGGAGTATGTTACCCTTTTAGTTTTTTGGCACTACTTGCACAAGCATTCCTTACTATCTCCTCCATTTTTACGGTTTTATTTTTTTTTTCTTTTTCTGAAAGCACACTCCACTATAGATTGGGGTGAGACTGGAGGTATTTTTACCTCGTGGACATACCCGACAGCAGAGGTGATCAGGAGTTACACTCTGAAAATCCTCCATCAGGCGAAGGATCTGAGACCGGAGCAGGAGTGTATTAGCTGTATGGAGAACAGCCAAATACGTAGCTCGTCTGTTGTCGGTGTTCGCCTGGGTCGTGTAAGACGATCGTATGTAGCACCAGAGTAGGTGTGTAGTTTGTTTGGAATATCCATTTATTGGTTCCGGGTATGCCTTTTGCCAATGCATGCAAGGGCAAAAGATGACGGCTAAGCTGGCAATTCAACCCAGATCACCCACTCTGTACCCAGATTTTCTGACATAGCAGGAGTCATACCGTTAGACCACTGTGTTTTTTGAGATATTGGTGCTCTGTACAAGATTTACTTAAATCTCAGGACTGTAGTATCCCCAGCGCAGAGCATCTGGGTATAACAGCAAGAGCAACCGTCTAAGAGCAAGCCCCCATGAAATTGGTCTGCAGAGCTGGCTCTAGGTATTGTTATCTCTCATCCCCTATGAGACTAGCTAGATGAAACCAGAAGAGAGCCAGTGTGTGTAGGGTGACTGCCTAAACCAAGATTAACAGTGACGATCTAAAGCTCCAAACAGTGATGATGCTTCAGGTAGGAAACCGATATCCATGCGGTCACTAGATCGGGCGTGGCGAGAAGAAGGTGCCCGCTTGGGGGTGTGGAACTTCGAAGTGGGAACAGCTGCATAACGATTATTGATGGGGTGTGTCTCTACGAGAGGCCGGTGGCCGCCAGACAAGGTGCCTTCCAGACTAGCAGGTGTGACGCGAGAATACGGGTGTGAAACGAGACTATGGGTGTGAGCGAAGGAAAGATGAGAAGCCGGAAGGAGCGAGAAATCACGGAACTTAGATAGGTACCTGTAGTCTCGCGGGCAACAATCCCCACTGTAGCTACCTAGCCGGTATATGTCCATGAATTAAGTCAGACGCCTTATTAGACAGCACTGTCAAGACAATTAACCAGTGCCGTCGCTAGACTACCTACCAGTGCTGATGCTACACACCATCAAGTTACCCACACATACAAACAGGACTAAGCCTCCCTACAGCGCTATCCACTGGGCCTTGCTCTCCGCACCAACCCCATCCGTCGTGGTGTAGCGGCAAGCATTCGAGACTCTCATACACGAGTTTCCCTCCCTCGGGAGGGGCTTGGTGTCGGGGGATCTCGGAACCCGGGTTCGATTCCCGGCGACGGAAGTTAGTTACCCTTTTTCTTCCTTTTTTATTTGCCGGCCCGTAATACATCATCACGCAGGTTTTCACCTAGTCTCGTGAGTGTGTCTCAGGTGCAGGGCACACACGCCTAGACTAGTTGCCACAATACCCTCCAAAAACAACTGCATCCCTCTCCAATTGCCACATCACATACGCGGAGAAGGTGCTACTTGTAAAGAATGCCTGCAGTTCCTCGGAACACGGTGCTAGTATTCATTCGTATCCCAAAATCTATATCCTTCTCTCTTCCAAGTAATAATGTTATTGCTCCGAAGGTGCTAGGTACTGCCCAGAATCTCCCTACCGTTCCAAAACTCATGTGGTTCCTGAATCAACCACCAAAGAAGGCGCAGTGGTCTAATGTAATGACCTGCAAAATGGAAACAGAGAGCGAGTGATCTGGGTTGTACTTCGCCTACCTCTACCACCCCCTCGCCGGACGCTAGGGAATTCGGTCTACAGCTGATAAGGGCGCTGAGAAGTGCCGCGGTCGCTCGACCTCCCCCATAGCCCCAAAGAACACACCACAACACTCGGCATGGGACGACGGTCTCGCTGGAAATTAAGGGAGACAGAAAGGGGAGACTCTGATTTTGGGGGGGTTTTTTAATTTTAATTTTTATCTTTGTACATAGCTCGCGCAGGGCTGGAGTGCACATAAACTAATATTCAGGTGAATGAAACATTCAGGGTAACTATCAAGAAGGAACATGCGGCGGACAAGGAGAAAGTAATACATAACTCTCATTGAGTTTCTTTTTCACCAAAACATCCCGACACGTTAACTAAATCAAAGCCAATCAAAAAGCCAAATCATATCCACAAAAGCCTAACTTTAATCATCCCCCAACTAACCCTCCGTGTGTTCAACGTATTTCCTCAAACCAACCCACCTCCCTCCCTCTTATACCTATTCCCATATGCAACTCAAACTATCTCACCTCAATAGTTCGGCTTTCCCTCTCCCCAATGCAATCCATTACCCAAATATGCTACCGCGATAATATAGCCCCGTCCTCCATTCAGGGCCCTACCAAACCAACAAAAGGCATCTGAACCAACAAAATGACAAAATGCCATCTCCGTCTCCGCCTAGTTGATTGCCGCTACCGGCTTTTCCGCGAACAAAAAGCAGAATCCAAGCACAAGAATCCATAAGTCCCAGCAGCAATGTCCCGAGAAAGAAGCAAGGAAAAGCAAAATGAGTACAATCGAGAGACTAAGTAAGAAATAACAAACGGAAAGAAACGAAAGTGAAAAAAGCAAAAGAAAAAGAGCAGATACGAAATTCTTTTGTGCAATGAAAAAACACTAGGACGGTGGAAAGGGAATTGAGGAGCGGAAGGGATGACAGCTGGATATGATGGGTAAGAGAGAACAAGATACTAACGTCAAGAAGGGCTAGAATAAAGCCACAGCAAAGATATAGGTAGTCACGAATAAGAATCCGTCGGACGCAACTTAGGCCTCCGCTAGACATAGTCCAAGATGCAGGCTTATATATCCTTCATCTCCACATCCACATTCTCACTCTTCACCCTACCAGCTCCAGTTTCCCTCTTACCACCCCGCTTTGCCCCCGGCCCCGCTCTTTCAATCCCCGCCGCTGGAATAGCCCGCTGCTGAATAGCTACTCCGACAGCCAGCGGCTTCTGAAAAAAACTCCCCAGAGTCTGCTGCCCCTTCTCTATTTTCGTTGCCCCACCCCTGGACCTTACTCCAGGGTTCCTACCACTTACGGGGGAACTTCCACGGCCACAGCCTAGCCCACGAGTTCCTACCGAGCCACCACCTCTAGTAGTGGATTTGGGGCCACTCGCCGAGCTGCCGCTATTCACAGCTACCCAACTCCGTTTTGGGTGGAAGGTCTCGTCTGTTTCGGTGTCCTCCTCTGATGTGCTGCTGCTGCTTGGCTCGGAGTCGGTAGAGATGTTAGTCACCGCGTCTGCGATGGAGGCAGGTTTTGGTGGTAGGAGTGGACAATTAAGAGTAGACTCGTTTGGCACTACGCGAGCCAAGGGGCTACTAGTCACTAGAGCAGCCGACTTTGAAACATCGTTGACAGTGGTGGGCGGACCTGGATCTTTATTTTTCCAAGTCTGTGCTGCGAAAACATCTTCTGTTTCTGTTGAATCCCCAGGCATATGTGCATTGCTGGGCCGAGGGAGTACCCTCGCACTGTCCCGGACTATGAGGTTTATGTGACGTTTCTGCGGACTGAGAGGCAATATGCGAGTTGAAGCGACAGTTGAGGGTGCTGCAGCTGGAGGAGACTTTGCCTCTTCCTTTACAATAGGATCGTCTGATAAAACGGTGAGGTTAGAGGCTTCCGAAACCTCGGAAGCTGGTACAGTCCGCGGAGGCAATGAAGCTGACATTGAGGTAAAACCTCTACCGGCTGGTGCATTCGATAACGGCACTGGTGCAACCACCGGCGATCGATTCAGTGTGATTTGAGGTTTCCGAGGTCTTCCTCGTCTCTTTGGTTCTGATGGAGCTGACATTTGCGAAGAATATCCTACTCCGGAAGAAACTATAGCCACCTGTTAGCCAATGTCCCAAACAGTTTATGATTGCTAGTTGACGCTACTGACCATCAGCTGCTGGAATACTTGTGACACCATTGGCCACCGGCTTTGGTTGTATCGGGACCAGTGCGATTGGCATCGACTTTTCCACGGTGACTTTGGGTGGACGACCTCGTCGCCTTTTCTCAGGTTCAGGGGTTGATACTTCCAGCCGCAAAGCTGGAGCTATTGGAATGGCAGGTGGCCTGCTTGCAGTTGAGCAGTAAGCTAATCGACATTCGGGCCCGTAAAAGGGTGAGGTAGGTGACTGCTGGAAGGAGCCTGTGGAAGTGCTTCTGGTAGTAACGCTTCTGCCGCTGACACTATCCTCTGTGTCGGGAGTGGTTGCTGAAGTTTCAGCGAGAATCGTAGACGGTATATCGCCACCGGGGCGGGGCTTCCTGGGGCGGCCAGGGCGGCGCTTTCCCGCAGGTGGTTGGGGTGACATAACATCAGGAGTCTTCTGCCGCTTCGTTGGAGGCTGGGCACGGGATGGAGGTGGAGGCGGTTTCCTTTTTGAACTTGGGGGCTCCATCGGATAAACAGCGATGTTTTGGTCCAGTGATATCGAATTAACCCTCACCTGCGAGGTATTATCACCTGCTTCTAGTTTGGTGGCAGCAGGTATAGTTCGGACCTGTTTCCCAACTTGTTTAGAAGCACCAGTGTAAAATGTTTCCTGATCCGCGGTATCAGCCGTTGCAAGCAGCTCCCTTGCCTTTTCTGTCAGGTTACGCTTCCTAGGATTCCGCTCTTGAAGAGCAAGGGTCGGTGGTGATGCTATATAATTAGTACTTGTATCCTGAGGGATCGCCATACTACCGTCGGAGGCATGTACTGTCGAGACTTGGGTGCCTTCTTTGATACATGAAGAAGGATCTGTGGGAGATTTAAAGTTCCTATGCGTCGACCAGGAGTAAGTGGAATTTCTCGAAGATTCGAGTGCTCTGACGTGTATAGCCTCATACCTGACATGTATTGACTCTTCCGGGGAGATTTCATTTTGTTTCGCGAGAGAGTCTGCTGACGCAGTGGCTTCTTCCGGGTTGCCACTCAGATTAATCACTCCATCTGCATCAGTCGGTGGTGGAAGCTGCTCAGTTCCGTTCTTTCGAACCAATGCATTTTTAGTTGAGTGCCACAAATTAAGAAGGGAAGTATACACAAACCTCTGTAATCGCGGACTCCACGTTTACTGGCGCTTCAAAAGCTAGTCTCGGCCCCGGAATAAATCTCCCATTCGTACGTGGTCTGCCACGGACTGACTTCCCTTTTTTCTTGGCATTCGAATGCGTCTTTGCAATCGGGGGAATGGCTTCCCTAACCGGAAGTTTCGCAGGAACCTTCTCTTGTTGTGCATTTCTATCATTGGCGATTTCAGGTTCCTGTCTTGTGTCGGCATGTGGAGTGGGATGAGCGGCTCTCTCCGCATCCTGCTCCTCAAAAGTCAATTGAAATATGGTAAATAAAATATCGGTCTGTTTCATGAAATTTTGGAGACATCCCGCACAATCGATTTGTACTCCGCTTGGCAGAATGCAATCAACTGCAACTGATTTTCCCTGTGCACGGTGATGACCACAGGGCTCCATGCTCTGTGCAGCACTCATGCTGCTTGACTCCTTCATTGCCTCCGAAGTGGCTCTAGTTTGTCTCTTTGGATAGTCGATCTCCATCGCAGTAGCAAGAATAGGCGAATCCCTCACTTCGAGAAGAGTCCTCTCCCCCATGTCCGCAAGTGGTTCGTGTTTATGTTGCCTCAGCACTCGGTCTATCGTCATCGGTAAGATGTTAGTAGTCTGTTCAACCAAGTTCAACTCATTGGCACGTGTTTCTTGCGCTAGAGCGTATAAACGCGCTGCATGTCGACAAAGCTGCCTTTGGAAGTTCTCTTTCTTCTTTCACTTGCTTTTCTTTGCGAGCCCGTCATGCATGATGTTCCACAAATGACAATGCTGAAGAAGAGCAGTAAATGAACAAGTAAATTCAAAACGTGATGAGTTCGGGAATTTTTGCGGAGTCAGCCAGCGACTAGTTGTTTATCCTTTCCGACCCAGAAAGGATACCAAACTAGGAATGAATAGCTCAAGGTTGCGTTGGGTATTTTATGCGCCCACGTTCAGCCTTCACCTTATCAAGGAAAATTTCTTGTCAGGAATAAACATAGAGGCGAATAAGAGTACTTAGAGGGTATATATAGGTTTATGTGTGTGTAGAGGCTCCCCACTTCTCTATGTTTGTGGAGGAAAATGTGTGGTTTGTTCCACGCGGGGGGAGTATAAGGGTAAAATAACAAACAACAAGTTCAGCCCCTTCAAGAGATAATATGCAGATGCATCTGTACAACCTCCGAGCCTCACCCAGAGCAAACAACCCAGGGAGGATATGACTGGACAAGACTCATTATGAAATGGA